GATGTTTCGGTTGTATTTAACTCCGTCATCGCATCACCGGGTGGTAAAACCGTGCAAACTGTGGGTGCTTCAATGGTGCGCGCAAACTCCGCGTCGCTACCTCCTCCAACTGGTTGTACCTCGGATGGCCTTGCGTGCATCTCATCATCTGCCGCGGTAACATCGACCGGGCATACCGGATGAGTGCCCGGCGAGAATTCGGCGATGAAGTCGGCCAAAGTCTGGGCTTTGATAGCAGTGCGCGGCTGGAACTTTACATCAAACTGTCCCAACTCGACCGCCCACTTAAGAATTCGACCGGAGAAGTCTGCCCGTTCGAATAAGGCTTTGAGGGGGAACTCGGTCAAGACGATGACGGTATGGGCGTGAAAATAATGTGCCAACTTCCTCGAAGCCATCATTAATGCCAGCGCAAGCTTTTCCAGTGGCAAGTTTCTCGTCTCAGCCGGTAGCAAGGTCTTACTGACATAAAAAATGTGCTTGATGCCTTCAGCGCGGACTAGCACCGCACTGATTGCGTGCTGGGAGACGGCGAGGTAAAGATAGAGCTCCTCGCCCGGCTTTGGTGTAACCAACAGTGGCGGAGAGGACAGATATTCCTTGAGCTCGGCCAAAGCTCGGTCACATTCTTCGTCCCACGAGAACTTTGACTTCAACGCTTGAAAGAAAGGGCGGCAGCGATCTGATGACTGGCTTATAAACCGATTAAGCGCGGCGGCCATCCCGACCAGATGCTGCTCGTCCTTAGCCGAGCTGGGCTGCTTCAACTCTTGCACGACTCTGATCTGAGTAGGGTCTGCTTCGATGCCTCGGTTTGTGACTAAGAATCCCAAAAATTTTCCGGATCCCACGCCAAAGGTACACTTTGACGCATTCAAGCGCAGCTTGTGCTTCTTTAGAATGGCAAACATCTCGGCTAAGTCGGACAGATGGTTTGCTTCATGTCGGCTCTTTACCACCATATCATCGATGTAGGCCTCCATTGTCCGGCCAAGCAAAGGAGCAAACATTTTGGTCACCATCCTCTGAAAGGTCGCCCCGGTGTTCTTCAAACCAAAAGGCATGACTCGGTAGCAGAAGAGTCCCCTTGGAGTCGTGAAAGAGGTAATCTCTCGGTCAGGCCCGTGCATGGAAATCTGATGGTAGCCGCGGTAGGCATCCAAGAAACTGAGCCTATTATGTCCAGCCGTCAAGTCCACTAGCTGGTCAATGCGCGGCAAAGGGAAGCTATCTTTGGGACAAGCTCGATTGACTGTCTTATAGTCGACACAAACTCGCCACTTTCCATTCTTCTTGGGCACCACTACTGTGTTGGAAATCCACCGAGGGTAGTGCACTTCCTGAATTGCTCGTGCCTCAAGCAGGTTCCTAACCTCCTCCACAACTACCTCGGCGTGATGCAGTGCCGATCTCCTTGTTCGCTGGATGACTGGCTTTGCTCCTGGGAAGACATTGAGGTGATGGCAGATAAAACTTGGATTGAGGCCAGGCATGTCGTAGGGCGACCACGCGAAGACTTCGATGTTGGCCACCAAAAACTCAACCATCTCGGTCCTGTCTGTGGTCGTGAGACTTGAGCTGAGCAAGAAGAACTTGTTCGGCTGTTCTGTATCAATTCGCACCTCAACCAATTCCTCAACAGCCTTGTCTTCAGCCTTGGTACCCACATCATCAAAGACACCCTGGTCCTCCGGTCCCTCTATCATTTGAACGAATCCTTTGGCAGCATGGCTTCCGTTGACCGCCACGATGCACTGCTTGGACATGACCTGATCGCCCCAAATCTCCTCGATCGCCCCCATAGCCGAGGGGAATCTCATCACCTGGTGATAGGTCGACGCTACGGCTTGCATAGCGTGAAGCCATCCCCTTCCAAGGATAAGGTTGTACGTCGAAGGCACTTGCAGCACCCAAAACTCCACTGGCTTGATCATGGATCCCGCTTTGACCGGCAGGATGATCTTTCCCAAGGGCCACTCCGGTTGCAAGTTAAATCCAACCAGTGGCGAAGTCGCCGGAGCCAAGTCTGTCTCACGGAGCTTTAGCTGCTTGAACGCATCATAAATACATGATCTCGACCGAGCTTCCCTGATCGATCAAGATCCGTCTGACATCGAATTCTTTGACACGTAGTGTTACTACTAGGGCATCGTTGTGCGGCGTCTGGATACGCTCTAGATCCCTTGAGGTGAAACTAATCACGTCTTTTTCTTCTGTCTTCCCCCTTTTGATAGCAGGCTGTACCGACAAAACTTCCCGCATATGTTCTGCCTTTTTTATCATTCCCCGGAGTTCGCAAACACGCTCCGGCTCTACGATGCCGTGGATGACATTAATGACTCCCTGTGGTGGTGCGTCTCGGTCATCCAGTCCCCTGGGATCGACCGGAGCCTGATTCGGCTTTACGCCGCTGTCAATGTAAAGATCTAAATGCCCGGCCGCAACCAGCTCTTCTAAGTGTTGCCGCAATAGAAAACAATCCTCTGTTCGGTGGCCCCTCTCCCGATGGAATGTGCAACGATACCGCGGATTGTAGCCCTTCTGTCCATCGCCCAACTTAGCAGGAAACCGGACATACTCCTTGTCTCGGATTTCACTAAGTATACGATAAATTAGAATCTTAAAGACCGTGGTGATGCCAGTCCTCGCCTTCAACCTTCTGTTAGCATCCGCCACATCATCTCGGGCGTAGTCATCCTGGTCGTTCCGACGTCCTCTACCCCGGTTTTTGCGATTCGAGCCACGGTCTGATTCTTCTACTCCCTCATTTGTGCGGCTGGACTCTTGCCCAACTGCGTGCACCTTGCCTGCTGTCTTCTTGTCTGTTGCGACCGGTATTGCCTTCACGGTAGAAGCAGACGCGTCATCCTCTACTCGGATGTGTTCATTGATACGCTGCATGAGTTGGCCCATGGAGGTCGGTTGGTGCATGGTCAGCGAGTCCCGCAATCTATGGCCGACCGGGAGACCACGCTTATATTGCGTGATTGCGAGGTTGACCGGGCAGTCCAAGATCTCGTTGAAGGTTTCCTAGTACCTTGAGTTGTATACCTTCAGTGTGGTTCCATCTTGACACTTAGTAGATGATCAACTTCCTTTGGTGTTTTTGTGTTGGTTTTGAAGCGTGTAACAAACGCCTCGGCCAACTGATGCCACCTTTGTATGCTCCCTTCCGGCAACCTCTCGAACCACTTTAAGCCCAGCTCACCTAAACTTGACGGGAAGATTAGGCACATAAGTCCGTCATTGCGCCGATGTCCGGCCATAACCTGTCGGAAGTGGCTCACATGCATGTATGTCTTATAGTCGACACAAACTCGTCACTTTCCATTCTTCTTGGGCACCACTACTGTGTTGGAAATCCACCGAGGGTAGTGCACTTCCTGTATTGCTCGTGCCTCAAGCAAGTTCTTTACCTCCTCTGCTACTACCTCGGCGTGATGCAGCGCCGATC